ATATATACATGTAAACAACACCTCGCTGATGGGTATATACATGTAAACAACACCTAGACAGCTGGGTATGTTCATGTAAACAACACCTAGACAGGTGGAACACATTGAACACATTGTCAGAAATCACATCCCATGATTAATTAATGATTTACTGCAATATTGTTTATCTCTGTATTTCTTGATGTAAACAATTCTGTCAATCTTTATAAAAACAAATGAAACATTGAAATCATAGAACTCTCCTTGAAACTCAGCCTTTTTAAATCAACTATATCATAAATTTATATTTACATTATTATTTTATACTGAACATGTTCTATCATATGTACTGAGGGGTCTTTAAAAATTCTTGCTATTAAAGACAGACTCGGATAGGTGATGTTTATCAATGTTAACTGATATTATTATTTCATTGAAATAACAGAGGTGTTATCTGTCAAATGAAATTGTTGTATTTGAAATCTGTACAGTGTTGTTAAAAAAGTGGAACATAAGAAAATAGAATTAAAAAAAATGTCATTTTGTTAAAACAAATCGCTATCTTGTGTCTGTCTTACTTATCTCCTTTCTGTCAGACCTTCAGATTATCCGCTCTTGATTAGTACATCAATTCACGAACAGATATCAGCCCTTACAATCAGCTTTAATTTTTGTGCTGTGCGTTTGGTCTAGTGTTGTATCTGCTTTCAAAAGCATGGCCTCAGGTCATTGTTTGAGTCTCTGGTCTTTTCGCGGGTAAACATTTGAGTTTCTGATTTGACCTCTGCATGTGTGTACGTGTACATCTGTCTGTGTATGTGTCTGTGTCTGTGTCTGTACCCGTGCCCATGTCAACATCTGTGTGTACTCGTCTCTATCTCAGACATGCCTGAACCACTTGCATTCAAATTTTACACTTACAACGTGCATCTTGGGATAAACATGCTCTGAGACCAGATGGCCAAATGGCGGCCATTCTTGTATTATGAATTCATCAAAATTTCGGCCATTCCAGATCTAGATCTCGGTCGTGTATGAACAAATTTAGTTCATACTTAGCATGTACATTCAATGTCATGAGACCTTGATGTATGTCATTTTGTTTAAATTGAATTCAAATTGGCTGACTGGAGGCCATTTTACTTTAGTGAATGCAGTTCAAGAACAGTATCTCTGACTGTCCATGTTCAAACTTGATAACTATGTAATGCAATTACATTTGTACTTGTACTTGAGTATTGAAACTATCTCAAAATGTTTTCACCAGTAACAATACACAAATTAACTGAATTGGCCCAAAAAAATACTTCTTATAAATTGCTTTATGAGCCCCTGATTTAAGTTAATGCCTACAAGATCAGACACATCCTTGAAATTTACAATGTGCATTTTAGGATACACATGCTCTGATTCCAGATGGCCAAATGGCGGCCATTCTTGTATTATGAATTCATCAAAATCTCGGCCATTCCGGAACTAGATCTCGGTCGTGTATTAAAAGTGTGACAGACAATATTGTTATAATGAGGAAACACAAGCAAGAACTAAGACCCAATTTCAAAGATTATTATCGTGCAATATACAGCGCTGT